ATATATATATGTGTGTGTGTGTGTTTAAAAATTTCTGTCTCCTGTTTTTGCTTTACATTATGCATTTCTGGCTCTCTCTCTCTGTAAGAGCTGCCCTTCTAGGGTCACCTCCTCCACGATCATCAGATTAGCTTGAAGTTTAGTTTAAAACAAAGGCAAGAAGGAAAAMAACACTTACCTACATGGAGGCCCAGATGTGGAAACTTGGAGAACACTCCAACWTGATGTGACACAGACATCAGGACCTTCAGCTGATCTCTTGTATCAGTCAGGAACTGATCACCACTGGAGAAGACCACTCATGAGAACATGCAGTCAGGCCCACATCATTCTAGCCAAGTAACTGGACTGTACCAGAYCCTGACCCCACTTAAAGATGGGCCGGATGTTTCAGTGTAGAGGTCCACCTGTGCTCACCGGACCCTCCCTCACAGCTGTAAATTCTGAACTTTAAAGTTTCAGCCAATGAGGGAAGAGCTTATTGAACTGAGACTGTGCCTGTGTGTTTAAACTGGATCTTTTTTCAGAACCAGGAGAAGTACGTGTAACCTGGTTCTTTATGTWGAATCATAAAACAGGAGAAGTCCAAATTTGCATGATTTATTATCACTGGGCTTTATAAAAAGCACAAGCATTACAGAAACAGAGGTTTGTGGACTTGACATATTAAGACTCCCGTGGTCCTCGGCAGGGGTGTAGCACCAAATTCTGGGCCCTGTACACTCTCTGTGTCAGTGGGCCTCTATCCATGCAAGTGCACGAGGTGCATAAGTAAAAAAAAAAAGTGGGGAGGGGGTATTCTTTTAAATAAAGACGCATAAATAGGGTTTTAAGCTACAATCAGATCAGATTATATTGATGAGTGGTTCTTTCATTCACCAGATGAATTGATGCATTTGGCCTACCTGTGTTCAAATACCTAAAAAAATTTGCTACATCTGGTTTGTGTACTAATGTTGTGATCCGTGACACTATAGCAAAATTTGATTTAAAAACATTTATTCTTGAACTAAACATTTGGTACATGACACATGCTCAGTTTAACTGTCTGCACAAGTCATAAAATGAACACTAAATGTTTCTTTTGTGATGCAATAATAGTCAAACCATATTAACTGAGATTATGTTCACCTTTATTAAACTATGTAGTGCATCAGTCCTTTAAACTCACTAAGAATACAGTTTGACAATCAGCCATAGTTTCACACAACAGACACACACAGGTAGAGCACTACAGGTGTGTTTCTCCTCTCAGGAGCATCAGAAAACTTGTAATGTGTGTAAAGGACACACTTGAGGGGGGTCTGGGGGTCGTAGAGGCTATTTCCTGATTTCTAATGTATTTTAACAGGTTGTTAAAGATACTTTTACTTACACAAATAAAGACTTAATTAGAGACAACTTGAGACAGATTCTTCATTAAACTAGTTGTATCGTCCTGTTTTTAAACTCACTTATGGCTCAGATAATTAAATTAATGTGATAATTTATCTCAAACAGCCTTAGAGTTTTTTTTACATTAATTTTGTTTATTATTCATTTTTATTTATAACACAACATGTGCCAAACAATGACACTCAACTGCTTGTTTCAAACTAAAATCATTAATAACTTTATCAAGTGAACAGGTTTAATTATAACAACCAACAGTGAATTTAGGAGCGTTTGACTTTTTTCTGATTTGATGACAGGCCCACTCATGAACTGACAWGRYATCATGCAGCTTTCTTCACAACATAAAATAACACTGTGTCAAAGAATGGTGTTGTAAAAATGAACTTGTGTCAGTTTCATCAACCTGCATGTAAATTAAGAACAACTGATACATGGATGCTTGGAACTGATCAGAAAGCTAATGATGGATGGAGTTCCTCAGTAATCTGTCTTGGTAAGTCCTGCTGATGTTCTGCTGGGTTAGAGATGACATGAGCTGAAGTCACTTTAGGTTTCAGAGTCTTGTGTATCAAAATGTTTGTTTTAATAATTTTAATGTTTGATTAAAATCAGTTTATTATGTAGTCACAACAAATATCGCTTCAGGTTTCTTTCTTTCTATAGATTATATATATA